GAGCGCAGAGTGATGTCCCCCAGCGGTGCCATTCATCACCCCAAAGCAACGCGCTCCTCTCCGGCACCGGCTCCCACTGGTCTGCTCACAGCCCTCCTCACCCACGGGGGCCAGTGGGAGCTGCCGCGCTGGAAACCCGCCCAATAATTCAGATAAAAGACCAGCACAAGGGTATTTGGCTCTGCCACAGACCCTCACGCCGGTACCCACGCTTGCCAGAGGCGAGCGGCACATGAGGAGCTTTGTCTTTCCTCTTCTGACAGCGGCGCCTTTTTCTAATTAACACCCGGCAGCACCCAATTACATTTCCCGCCCAGCGTATCACCAAGGGGATGGTGGGCAGCGCCTCAGGACGAGCGTCCCCCGGCCCTGCGGTGCGGGGTTGCCGGTGCTGGGGCAGGCGAGAGACACGCTGACGGCCGCGTCCGATTGCGGGGAGAGACCCCCCAAGAGGGTGTTTCAAAGCTGATTAAGTGGTATTGTTCGTTAGCTGAGGCTGCGGCTGAGAAGCTCTGGACTTGGGACGCAGTAGGAGAAAGATACGTTTAATCCATCCTTTTAGCTCCTCCTGAGGAGGCTGCAGAGGGTGTCACGGGAGTCACTGGTTTTCCTTTGGCTGCTCCAGAAAAAGACATTTCTGCTTTCAAGCATCCTGGTAGAAGGGATTTCTTACATCCCGCAGGTTCGGGGGATCACGCCAGCAGTGTAACGGCCCCACGCATTCCCTGCATTCACCGCGGAACGGAGGAATCCAACCCCCCAAAGCCTCGGGCTGATTATTTGGCCATTCCCATCTTCTTCACCCTACGGGGTCCGTTGCCACCTGAAGCACCACACTCCACCCAAGAACCGGCGCCTCCTTACTTCCCCCGTACAACGATGAGTCCTACAAACAGGATGGGGCGCTCACTAAAATCACTGCTTCCCACTCCTGCTGCATCACTCAGCAGCTTTGGGCTTTTCTGAATACTTTTTTTTTTGGTACATTTGTCCCTTACCCCAGGAGCTGTCAAAGCCCCAGCCAGCCAAGAGGCAGGTTTGGGACGTTCCCTGTTTTGTTGCGGTCCCATCACCGCTCCCAGAGCCAGGCAGCATCCTCGGGGACACGCTTCCAGTCCCAGCGCTCACCAACTGGTGGGCCAAAGCCGCCTGTGCACATCTCCGTTCGGGGGACGAGCAGCCCGCGCCGCGTTAGAAGGGTGGATGTGCCAAGAGCATTGCGCCTAATGACAACTTGATGTGCACAGAAGTCGCTGCCTTTCCTCTTGGCGGCGTCCCCTGTTACTCAAGAAGTCGCTGGTCCGCAGCGTTGGGTCTTTGCAACCTGTTGGCTCCGATCCTGCGCCAGGGGACGAAGTGCTGGACTCATTTTTTAGGAGGAAGCAGTGATTTTTGTACCATGTTTTGAAGCCACATGGGAGAAATAAAGACTTTCCCAATAGAGCCAAAGGTAAAACAACTCCGCAACTGCCTTTTGCGTCTCGAGGGGCTCCGCTTTGTGCGTCAGGCGTGAGGCCACGCGTTGCTGGTCTTGGCATCCCACCCGGCATGGCTGCTGGGGACCTGCAGCGCCGAGCAGGACCAAGGGGTCTTTGTAAAACCGAATCAGGAGGTTACTTCAGGAAGGGGAAAGCATTTCGAGAAAAGCAAATATCTTAAATCGGTCTATGTGCGTGTTTGTTTTACCCAGAGCCCCACCTGCGTGGCCAGCGGCCGCGGCCCCGGCTGCTGTGGCATGGCGGCTTAACGACAATCACAACGGGAACGCCGGAGCAATGTGGGGGTTTGTTTGGGGGCAAAAAAGACAGTAACGGAACACCAAACCCCAGGGGGCTTCAGATCCACCCGCCCACCAGCGCGCGGATTTTTCTGCTGCTATAAAGGGGTTAAAGGGACGGAGCAAAGCCCCTGCTCCTTGCGGAAATTATGTCTTCCCAGCCCCGTGTGTTTATCACGTTCATCGCAGCGCGGCGGGGAAGCGCGGCGGGGAAGCGCGGCGCCGA